GTCCCGTTCTATCCAATATTTGCTACCAAATTAACAGTATATCTTGCATTATCATTTTTAGACCATTCAACTGCTGCAGATGCATTGTTATATAATTTCCTGAACTTTATATTGCATGTAATATATTTTCAGTAAAAAGTATGCTTTGGAGTCTATGTAATGGATATGTAATATCAATAAAATAATTGTATTAAATATCCTGAACTTTTATCTTGCATAATATATTGTACTTGCGGAGTCTTGTCAGAGTGTTAGTTAACATGCAGATGGATGATATTTACATTTGCGTATAATATTAGTTTATCGAAAAATGTATGGTTGAGAATAAAAGAGAGAAATGTATTTTAAAAGAAATGAGGATAACATATATTCATCCTCCCAATACCATACTTTTCCACAATATTTGACGATACTATTAGGATTTTTTTTTTAAACTCATTACTATATGCAATAAGTTCAAATTAAGTACTAATAAGTAAAAAACACAGCATCATTTGTTTAGAAAAATTATTTAGTGATTAATTATAACATATTTTCTAAAATTTTCGCTATTATTCCTATTCTTTCCATTTTTACAAATAAAAACTATAGTTACATTATTTTTCACAGTATAGAAATTAATCGCTAACCAGCAAAATGTTTGTATTCAACATATCCTACATCTTTCTACAATTTATATATCATTTTTACTATTTTTACTTTTTTTTCCCAGCTTTTTTGGTCTTAGAAATGATTATTTCTGTTTTTACAGAAGTTATATGGATTTTTAAATATATTTTTAATATATTACCAACAGTTTATTAAAGGATTTTGGTTTGTATTTTTTTTTTTCAATTTTTCTTATACTATCAACGGGATTTTATCATAGAATTATTTCGTCGATAAATCCTCGGACTTTAATCTCTTTGTTCCAATGGTATTCCATCGCTATTAGCCACCGAAAATGTTCGTTGTCATTGTCGAATATTCTAGTAGTATGAATGTATATGTATCCATGACACTCACCAATTTTCTCCTATAAGTACAGTTTTGGAATTAATTGCAATTGGAATTACTTTAACCACTAGTAAAGTTTTTGTTTCAATTGAAATTGCTTTAAAGTTTTGGACTTAATTTTAATTGTAATTAAAATCCAGGGACTTAATTTTGGATCTAATTTTAATTGGACTTAATTTCAAAAGTTGGAAGCTCGTGATTCAAATTCGATGAAGAAATTGATAATCGAATTTTGACAAATTCTAAATTTTTATTTCTTGATTATAACATATAGGTGAACATCTAGTAAATATCTTGAATTCTCGAACTAAATGAATTTTTATTATTTTTTTGGATAATTCTTGTTCCACTTTCCAAGAGAAAAATGTTACCGAATCATTTAGACACTTTTCGTTCCCTTCGGATAAGCTTCTTGAATGCATCGGACTACATTGTTGCAGTGATACAATAGTTCTACTACGTTTACATATGCGTGAGAACACAAGCTTGAAATGGCACAAATTTAACCAGTTGATTCCTACCTTATGCATGACTTAGAAGTTTCTCCTTTAATCGTCTTTTCACCTCCATTTATGTCATTGAATTTTCATTCAATATTATGTAAAGTACTTAATTTCTCTCCCTCAAATGTTAACTCATCATCACAAGTCCCCCTGATGTGTTCTCTCAAGAAATTTCTGAAAAAAGTATATTAAACTCACAAAGAAACAAAATTAATGCACAATATGAAAGTAAAAATTGAAATCAATATGCCTACATTTGGAAGCTAGGTTTTCTTATTGAGAACAAGCCAAGGGAGATAAAATAGGGGAATTGTATGAGCTTGTTGGGCAATTCCATGCTAAATCTTTTTATTAGCTCCTCTAATTTTTTAATATGTCAAATCAAATCCTCAAAGTTTATTGGATGAAATTTATTTATTTCAAAAGAAAAAGAAAAGAGACAAGACACGAGACACAAGAACATAACATACAAGTCTTTAATATATACAATTAAAATTTTAATGCACATACCCAAACACTTGTAGCTAAACATGTCGACGAGTCAAGCCGAAACTTCAAACTTGGGCTCGACTCGAGTAAAAATAGTGCGAACTTTTTTTGACCCGAGCTGAGCTTTCATTTTCAGCCAAAAAATCTAGTCTCGACCCAAGTTTTCGGTTTGGGCCATAGCGAGCGAGCCGACTCGCTATTTTTTTGTTTAAATTCATGACAAATTTAAATTTTTTTTAGAGAATTTAAAATTTGTGAAATTTATAAGGATTATAAATTAAATAAAAATTACAACATTCCTCATTCTTTCGAGCTTGAGACTGGCTACAATCAATATAAGCGGAATTAAAATTCTACACGAATAAAATATTTTGTGTGATTTTTTTGAAATAAATAAATTTAAAAATTGCATATATTTTTTAAACTAATCAATTTAAAAACTCACAATATCCTATTCATATCTACTGCAACTCTTAGGCTATTATATTGTCAAATTGTCTTGAATACGTAATTTCGTATATTCCAAGTCTTTCAAGCATACTAAAGCCTTCAATATATTTTCTTTAATTGTTCGTCTAATAAAACTTCACCACCTAAGTTAAATGTAGCTTACGTTGCTACCGTAGACATCAGAGGTGTTAGTATATCATGTGCAATTTTTGATACAATTGGATATTATCTTTCGTTACACCTCCACCATGATAGAATGCTAAGTTCCTGTAAATTTTTTGATTGTAATATGCTACGAACATCCATGCACATATACCTAACTAATTCAGAGGGAATTTCAAGATCTGTACCACTGACATCTATCAATCTAAATATTGATGAACTATAATTAAATGAGGGAACACTTGTATTGGTGTCCAAATAATTTCATATTTTATCTGAATTTATTAAAATATTTTTTGATAAAGAACTTTGGAAAGTAGAATTACCATAACCTCTTTTTTCAACATAATAGTTATAATAGATTTTGAGCCAGTTAAATTAAGTCGATGGTCCATGACCGAAACTAAAAGAAATAAAGAGGGCAACTCTTCCTAATATTTACAAAATTTTAACTCCATAAAATAGACTAAATCAACAAAAATTGACAAATTCCTATATTTATGAAATGTTTTTTAAATGTAGAAAAAGTGTTGTAAGTGAAGATGTAGGATAATAAATACCACTATATTCATTTGTGGCGTCGAAAAAAAGGTTTTAAGAATTTCTTTACACAAAATGCAATAGACCATTCACAATCTTCCAAATTATTTTTTGAGTCCATATGTATGCCTACCATTATAATATAATAAAATAACTTTATCATAATTTTCA